AGGAGGAGGAGGAGGAGGAGGAGGAGGAGGAAGGAGGAGCGCGGCGGCCTTCGCCTCCGTGCCAGGTTCCTCGAGTCCGATCGGCTCACTCGGGGGGCCCTCGGATTCGGGGCTGAGGCCAAGCATGTCCGCCCCGTCAGGGCCCTTGTCTGGGGTCGCGGTCTGGCTCCAGGACCCGCGGGAAAGGTTGGCCATGGCCGAGAGGGCGCCCAGGGAGGCCCGAAGTCGTCCAATATCGGCTACGCGTAAGAGTTGCCTTTCGCCAGGGAGACCTTCTCTGAAATGTGGGGTCGGGGTCGTTTTTTTCACAATGGGCGTTCTCCTTATTTCGGGCCCCAGGACCATCACGGATTGATGGGGCTCGAACACATGCAGCAAATATACGGGGGGTAGGGCTCCAGTCGTGATGTTCGTTTTTTGTTGTTCGTAACGTCGGATCTCAAGGTTTAGTGCGGGCCCACAGGGCTTGTTCGCCTGGATCTGCCCCCCCCCCGCAGCCTAATAAAAGCCGCGCGCCAAGTCTCACTCGTGCCCAGGCCCTGAGATCCGACGTCGCAGAAGAACACTGCAGCATCGCAACAAGTCACGACCAGATCCCTGGACCCCCTCTTTCCGTGGGAGCTCTCGAGCCAGGTCGACCTGTGAGGATTCCGGGACCCGAAACGACGACGACGACGACGACGGGCCCCAATCGCCCCACGTCACAACACCGCAACGCCTGCAGCCTCTGACGTCGAGAGCCTCGGGCGTCGGCCCCCGGCCGGCCCGCGCCGCCCGAGCCTCGCGGCGGCCGCGGCCGCGCGGGAGCAGGGCAGCCATGCTGGCGGCACGGGTGCGCCTGCTGACCGCGCGGGGCGTGGGTGCAGGCGCGGGCATGGGCGGGGCCGCTGCGGGGATCTCGGGGGCTGCTGGAGGTCCCAAAACGTGCCCGCGTCGTGGAAGATGTCACGACACATTTTTTGGGGGCCGTCTGCGGCCTCTGGGTTCCCTCCCCAAGCCTCGGGGCCGTAGCAGACAAGACTCGTGATGAAACACCAGCCTTGGGGAAAGGATCGGGACTCCTGGGGACCCCGGGTGGAAAGAATCGAGACATCGCACGTCTGGGGGGTTGACGGAGCTGCTCCTGGCCACGGTGTCCACGGCTTCTCGCCTCATTCACGGGCCTCAGGGGCCTCTCTGGCCTCGTGGAGGGTGCCCTGGGGGCCCTCGGGGCCTCCCTGAGTCTTCCGTTCCAGCAGTAATTGGTCGAAGCGGAGTTCGGGTGAGAGCGGGGCAGCGGGCTTGGGTGATTCTGATCCGATCGATCCTAGTGCGGCTTATCTGAGTCAGATCCGATCCGAGTTCGATTTTTTCCAGCAATCCGATGGGGCCCGATGCTCGAGAGGCGCAGCTGTTTGTCTTGGCGAAGCTGGTTCGATTTCATTCCGACTCCGTGCCCATGCGGCCCGACCCGACGCACATTCTGACACGATTCGACTTCGCGGTACGATGCTCACCGATCTTGGCATCGTCCTCGGAGAGGGAAGCGAAGGATGAGACAGGACAGACCGTACCAGGAAACTGTAGACACAGGACGCGGCAAGCCTTGTCGGGAGCTGGACACGCATGTAGCCAGATGTCTTCCAAGTCTGGGGCCCATTTGGGGTCTTCCCTAGCTGGTCCAAGCGTCACCTTTACCGGTGTGGTGGCCGTTACGAGAGGCAATCCATATTTTCATGGCGCAGGACCCGACCGTGTGCAGTTGTGGCCGAGCAGTTGCAAGTATCGTCTTCGGTGGAGGTCCCTAAGGGTCCAGTGGGGCCCTCGGTGGAGCTCCCCTCCCGGTCACGAGCGGCACCAAAGATAGCAAAAACAAGTCTCCGCAGGGCCGCCAGCCGTGTAGTGCCCCCTTGCGGGGCGGAGGGTGCGCGGAACCGAGGCGGGCGGCCCGTGGCCCCCCTCCGCACCAGGCTCCGAGCGCTGTGCCGCACGGTGGCGGGTGCGAGGCGCGCTGCGGCACGGCCAGGAGGCCCGTGGGAGTGGCGGAAGGACGAGGCCGAACGCTGTGTGTTTGCGCGCGCGCGCGCGCGCGCGCCTGTGTGTGTGTGTGTGTGTGTGTGTGTGTGTGTGTGTTTGCGCGCGCGCGCGTGTGTGTATTTGTGAGTGTGAGTGTGTGTATTTGTGAGTGTGTGTGTGTGACTGTAGCCTTTGGTTCCAGTCGCGAGTGGGTCCTCCTTCGGAGTCTCCCGCGCTCACGGGGGTGCCCGACGCAATGTGTGTGTGAAGTCCGCTCGTATCACCCTTCTATCCATCTTCCCTGCTACCGTCTCGGCTCAGGCATTGGAGCAATCCTGTATGAGAGGACGAACGCCGCTTGCCCGCGGGGCATGGGACAAAAAAGGGATCGCCACCGTCTCCCCACTTTCACCAACGGACGACACTGTAGGTTGGACTCTTCGGTCGCTAACCTACACCCACAGGTTATCAGCCCATTCTATTTTGCTCTCCGTTGTAACACTCCGCATCATTTTTGACTTTGTCGCATGGCGCTTGACCCCGCGGGGACCAGCGCCTCTATGCGCGCTGGGTTTTCGACGGAGCGTGGGCGTTACGACGCCACGGTGAGGGCAATGGGACAAAACATGATACCGCAATCTTCACTCGCAGGAAAAGGCAGCGCCGATGCCCGACCTGTGGCGGAATTCGAAGCAGTCATGGCCATCTCACGCGCCAGGGCTTGGGCACAGCCCACAGTCGACCACAACGTTTCCTGGCGCCACCCTTAGCTCAGAGCCTTCGCCGGTGGAAACACCCACCGCTGTTTTCGAAGCCGCCGCAGGATTCGCCTCGCCTCCTCCTCCTCCAACTCCCGCGGGTGGACGCGCCCGCGGCGGTGGCGCCAGTGACGCGTCTCCTAAGAGCGCTTCCGCGCGACACCGCCGCTGGGGCGCGCGGCGTCTCGCGAGCCCACCGTGGCCCCTGCGTCAGAACACGCGCGAATCATAAAAGACCGCGGTGTGCGGACCTCGCGGCGAAGAGCTCCCGAGCGTCGTCGTCCCTAGTTTCAAAATAGGGACAACAGCCGCAGCCCCTCCCAGAGGCGCTCGCGGCAGAGTTCCCTGCGGCGCGATCTCGCGCCGAAGAAGTCTCCATCCGCCAGTATTTTGGCGGAGCTTAGAGACCGGATTGAAACTTGCGCGACGCGACAGTTGTCGGGTCTTGCTGCGCAGACAGCAACGCGGAGGCAAGAGTTCCACAACGCCTTTGCCCTCGTCGACGCTCGGATCTCCGAGGGTCGATCGATCCTCGCTCAGGTCCATTATCAAGTCGACCGTGTGGAGTCGCGCCGAGGTTTCGACTCCGCTGCAATCCAAACGTTCCACGACTAACTCCTCGCAGTGGAGGCGCTATTCGCGAGTGTCAGGGACGCGGGCGCCGCACCTGTCAGGGCGCTGCGCGATGAGCTCCAGACAGCGGCAGGTTCCAGCCACGGAGGTGCACTGGCTTACGGATCAACAGCTCCACGGCGACCTCATTGCGCTTCGTGCCCATGTCGAAGTGGCCGCTGCCAACCTCCATTCCCGAAGTACCGCAGTCGCGTCCGAGTTGCACGGCGAGCTGCGTAGCGCTGAGATGGTTATTGCTCAGCGTCTTGATGCTTCGAAGGGGCGCGTGTGAACGCTTGAGAACCGAGTCGCCATGGTCGAGCAGCAGTTGCTTTGTGTGCGGGTTGCGCTGGCTGAGTTGCGCGGTGTGCGGGCCCGGACTGATCAGCTGGGCGCCGCGAATTGGGTTTGCGATCTTGCCGCCCTCGTAGCCCGAATGGCCGATGCGCCGGGGGCGGCGGGCCGCGCGCAGTTCCGACTCGCCCAGATCTCCAGCGCGAAGCACGCAACCAGCGGCTGGGCCAGTGGCGCCCACGCCAACGACGAGATACGTGGTCCACGACAGAGCGTTGAGAGGATGCAGACTGACATCATAAGATCTGAAGCCGCCATAAAAGGCCCACGCGAGCAACGCTCAGACCCACATCCCGACTCCACCTCCCCAACCTACCGCTGACTGTGCCCCGGCCCGCGGCGATGGAAACGTCCGCGCTGGTCCGCCGCGACGCGCGTCGCCAGGCGCCGCTTCTGCAGTGGCCTCAGTTCAGACACGTCGTGCCTGTCCTGTGCGCGCGCTATCAAAGACTCCACCGAATCCATCGGAACCTCTGGCAGTTCTTTATCGGAACCTCTGTGCGTGTTCCTCAAGTGCCGCGCATTACTCAGTTGCAGTAGTGGCGACATATGGCCAGGGGCAAATGTGGCAGCGCCTCTGGTCGCCCTGTCAAGGAATGCGCGTTTCCCTGCGTGGCAGAGCAACCTGGCGCTGCATTCGAGGACCTACGAGACAGCGGCAATTTCGAAAGCATCGATTGCAAGTTTGCCGCTGGACCTTCGGCGGTTCTCAATGCTGAACTCCGTTGCAGAATGAAGAGCCCCGAAGCTCAAGATCACACAGCCAGCCGCATGTTGAAACGGTAGACATATCTATTGCACTATGCTGCAGTCCTGAGAGGTCACTGACGTCGATGACACGACGCGGGACTTCTAACTTCTACAAGCAATTTATTCATGCGGGGCGAGGATCTCCAACTGTTCGTTGTGGATTGGGACGGCTTGAATTGCGAATGCCGCGATCCACCGGGCACGACAATGCACGAGTCATTGTTCCGAGTTCAGACCCGCAGACATCCATGGTTGAAGCAGGACATGCACGATTGCAACAAGATGAGGTCGAATGGCCTTGGTCGCACCTACGACTGGTCGCGAGAACGCGCCCTGGCCACCTTCGAGTTGCGCCGGCTCGAACGCAGTCAGCTCAACCTCGAGAACGAAACGCCTCGTTGCGATCCGGCCGTCTGTGCTGCGTTCAAGTCAGGCCGTTGTGCAATCGGGGAACAGCGCAAGCTGCCGCGCGCAGGGGCCGGCAACCTGCCGCGACGCGCAACGACTGCCAGCAGGGAGGAGGCAAACGTAGCTTTTGTTTCGCCTTTGCAAAAAAGGGCGACTGCCCGCGACCAGATCGATGCCGATGTCCACGCCGCGCCGCGTGGAGTTTCGATGTGGGCCTTAACTTGCGCTGCAAACATGGCAACAGCTGCCGACTCGCCCGCGTTAGCCCTGGCGCCAAGACCCCCGAGAGGGGCCCCGGTCGGACGTGCGGCCAAGGTGGTCGCAACAGGACGCCCTCCCCAGGACGCGCGGGGGGCAGCAGATGCCCCCCAAGCGGGGGGCGGCAGAGCTCGAGAAGTCCGGGGGGCGCGCGCTGGCCACGCCGGGGAATGCCGTTCCATGGTCGCGGGGGGCAGCAGGGCTCGCGCAGCCCGGGGGGCCGCGCATGGCCACCGTGATCTCCACAGCGCCCCCGCTCATCATCGCGGGACCGCAGCCGCGACCGCCATCGAGGACGTTCCCCCGCCAGGAGCGACAGGGGGGAAGCCGATCCGCATCCTGCGGATGCAGTCGATCACCTTCTACGCGCAACAGGAACCGTTTTCCTGCAGCGACGCGTTGCAATGGGCGACGGGAGTGAAAGTACGCGATCCGTAAAAACACGTTGACCATCGCAGATCAGGAACCGCGGTGCTTACGATTCGACCTTGACAACATGGGCGCCATTACCTTCGCTGTCCATCAGCGACGCCTCTACAAGTCCAAGGAGCCACGTATCAACCAAGGTGGCCCTGTTGATGTGCCCGACCCGTTGCCTGGCTGGTGGTTGGAAGACAGCGTCCAGGCGCTCCGTGATTGCCAGACAGAGGCTTAACGATGGTGCGACGACCTTGCAAGGCCTGCCAGACTTACCACGGTGCCCGTCATGCCATCGGAGAATGACACAGCGCCGGAGGCAACGCCGCAACCGAGTCTACCGCTGCGGCGCGATCCACTGCAGCGATGTGCCGGACGCGGATCTCGGGCAGTGGTGCTGCCGACCACATCCATGATAAGGCCGATCTTATGCGTCGAGAAACCAATGACGCGCACCGGGGGGCACGTGCTGGAAACGGCCAGCGGTGGCGGGATCGTCGACGAACGCGTCCACCTGGAGCTGCCGCGCATTGGACTATCCAGTTTAGCCCTTGCGCTGGATGACCGCCCCCTGGTACCATCTGTGGGGCAACTGGTAGAAGTCGACGGCTTCCGACGCATCTGGGGCCCTCAACTGGGTTACTTTTTGCCGGGCCAATTTTGCCAAGGGTACAGGGCTACTGTCAGTAGCTGCGTCCCAGAATTCGGCTTCATCAATCTTGAACGGATTCCACCTCCTCAGTTATGCGCCGCGCAGCGCGCGTCGAGACGTCCACGACGAGTGCGACAACATGGACATGATGATTCGCGCCCTTGCATGTGTTGTTGCTGCGTGGGCGATGCCAGTGCGCAGGTGGGCGCGCCCGCGTTCGCGCCGCCAGTGAGCGACCTAACGCTTCGCGCTTCAGCGCCCGCGGCTTCGCCCGCGTCGACGCCGCCGACGCGCGACGCGACGCTGCCTGACCGACCTCGGCCACCCATCGACCCCGCGCATGACATCGCTCACAGCCCGAAGCGCAGTGACTGTGGAGTGCGTGCGCTCATCTTGGCGCGCAACGCGCAATGCCGACGCAAACGCAAACCCGATTCGCCAGCGCAGCCCAGCGAGGAAGACGCCCAATGCGAGGCGCTCGTGCCCGAGCGATTCGGCGAGGCTCTGACTGCCGACAACGTCGTCCTTGCTGCAGATGATGTCGCAGATGGGCATGATGACAAGTGCGCCTTAGGTGCGTGGGGCAAGGTCGCGGGACTTGTCGCCCTCATATCCAGCCAAGCGCAAGGACGCCGAGCCCACCGGGGCATCTTTCCTCGAGTTGTTTGCCCCCGACGATGAGGTGAAGCGCAGATGCAAAGACAGTTCTGGCGAACCTCGTCGTCGACGCGGTCGCCTGCGCCAAACGCCATGGTCGGGGGCGTTGCTATGTGCGCGGGGCCGAGCGCGTCGCGGTCCCGGATG